TTAACCACCTCTCCCCACCAAAAAAAACAACAAAAAACAAACAACAAGACAAAAACAACAACAACAACAACAAATAAACAAAGAAAACAAACAGCAAACAAACAAACAAAAACGACACAGGAATTAAACCAACGTCTTCAATGTGAGCCGGCACCGTGCCTATTTGCTAGATCACAGACATTAAAAGGACACACAATAAGAAGAATAATTTTACTACAATAGAATATGTCCCTCATAATCATGAAGCGAAACTTGCATAAATAAGGAATAATAATATCGAAAAAATCGACATATTTTTCCTCACCGTTTAGCAATAAATAATTATAAATTTGTTCTTTTTTGTAATACTCAATAATATATCCATTCAAAAATAAAGTGTGGATTTTCCAGAAGAAAAAATTCATCTCAGGCCCCCAGAATTTAAATTGATAGTTTCCAGTGTCATTAAGGCACTGGAAGTCATTAAACTTTGGAGGCCAATTTGTCGCTAACTGTAGTTCTGATAGCAGGTAACCCCCACCCCCCTCCACCCATCCCAAATCTCCTTCAGCTATTCCGTCAATTCAAGGCAGATAGCTGGTTTTGTTTGATTTTAAAAAACCACCAAGACAAATGAACAAGATTTCACATAATACCAATTACGTTTTATTCCCTTAAATTAACAAGAGCCTGGAAACATCGTTTCGTGATAGATCTACATATAATATGAAGATGCCACGTGAAAAATAGCCAGGTCATGTTATTTCTAACTCAATTTAACAACATTTCGACTTGTTACTGATAGATGTAATTGATTTGTGCAACTTGTATTTGATAACGTAATTCTCTGTTATAGAAATTTGCAAATGATTTAGCTGGTTTTCACTTGATTAAAAATAGTACAGGTACTTTCCACTATAAGAATAGACTTATCCCGTTTTTCTTTTAAAAAATGACATTTTGTAATACATGTCCTCTGAAAAATAAGGTTCTACTTCCATGACGTATAAACTAGAGAAAATAAGATTGAAAAAAATCCCGTTCTATTAGCTAAAATGATTTTACACTTTACTTGTTGAGAGTCAATGAATATATTAAAAGAAATATGATGCACCAGGGTGAAATCAGTCGCTCGTCAAAAGAATGAAATTGAAAATAACTGTTTCTTGGCTTGGCACTTTTAAGGTTCACTATATAAAAAAAATTGTGTATATTTCTCTTGCAAAATGTTGAATAAAGGCACATAAATTATAATTTTTCAGTTTCTAAAAACACTCGAAAAGTATGGCGTCAGAGGACAATGTTAGATAATGCCAGAGCTCTATATACCAACAGCGGAAGCTCAGTAAGAACGAAGGAAGGAAATACAGATTGGTTCAAAGTAAGATCTGGAGTACGACAGGGACACGTTCTATCTCCCCTCCTGTTTATAATATAATATATGGACACAATAACGCAAGAATCAAACCAAAGCCCAGAAACCCTAAATAAATTTCTGTTCGCAGACGACCAATGTCTAATTCATCATGACCAGCAAAGCCTCCAAAATCAACTCAACAACACTTTTGAGAAGTTCAACATGAGAATAAACACATTAAAAACAGAAGTTATAAAAGTGAGACGAAACCATAGTCCCCTGATCATTCATTTAGATAGTAAACAACTGAAACAGGTGAAGGAGTTAAAATATCTTGGCAGTACTTTGTCTGAAAACGGGTCCTTAGACAGAGAAAGCGAAATGAGAACTCAAAAATCCAACACTGTCACCTACCAGCTTGCACCCCTCCTATCCCATCCAAACATCTCCATGGACAAAAAGAGACAGCTTATCACCACAATATTCATACCAATATTATGTTATTAGTGCCAGACCTGGACCTTAAGCAAAACCCATGAAAGCAAAATCACCGCATGCGAAATAAAATATCTCCGCAAAACCCTTAACATCACTAGACGAGACAGGCAGACAAATGAAGAAGTAAGAGCAGCTATCGGCACTGAGTCCTGCCTGCGTTACATAGAAAGACGGAGGTTAAAATGGTTTAGCAACCTGTTACGCATGTCACCTGACCAGCCAGCCTCGAGAGCCTACAACACCAAGTACTCAGGCTATAAAGGAAGAGGAAGGCCACGCAAAAGGTGGATCGAGGGTGTCAAGGAAACCCTAAGAAAGCATAACATCACAACTGAAGGAGATGCAGAGCTGACCTACCATAGAAAACTGCATCTCCCCTCGACGCTTAACGGCAACAGAGGATGAAAAAGTAAATTAAAAATAAAGTAAGTAAGGACTCTCAAGAGATGCAGTTTTCCATGTTAGGCCAGCTCCGCAGCTCCATCGGTAAGTCACCAAACGTTGGCGGCCAATTTTTGGCTAATTTTACATCTGAAACCAGACAACCGTCAACTACTTCAATCGGAAATATCTTAGTATATGTTTTCATTGAAATGTATACAGATGAATAAGCTTTAAGATGATACCAATAATTCCAGATGTCAAAAAAAGGAAGGACCACCGCGTCGAAACACAAGTTCGTTTCTGACTGTCCCAATCAATGTACACAGTGTGCAGGGCCTACGTGTCAGTAATGTGTAGTGTGTAACTCAGTTCTCGCAAAAAAGTGGAGTTAGATCTTTTATCATTCTTAGGGCGCAAATGCTGTATAAGACGAGTATGGTAAAAATCTAATCCAACAAAACTAGTTGGAATAAACGTGTGTGTACAGAGTCTGTTTGTTTATGGTATGAAAGCAATATGTATCAAGCCAAGGCATCATTCATTTCGACATCAAGTTTATTCAACAGTCTTAGTACTTATTGTAACTAAAAATTCTGAGTCGGATAACGACAAAAGAAACCATTTTACAAAGTCAAAGTCGATTTAATAATGTCGATAGCAAGCATTATAATAGTAGTTCCGTCTGAATGGAAAACGCAGAATCTTTATCCCTTTTCGGTTTATTTTTCTAGTAAAATTAAAGTTATTTTTTGACATTTGGTTTCATTAATCTTTCAAGAACAGGTTGTACACGTTATTTTTTCTATTAGTTTGATTCTTCTTCCAACATACGTTGTGTGCATTGTTTTACCAGCTAGTTTGATTCATCCCCAAAAAACAATTTTACAAGGTTTCTTTACCAGCAAGTTTGATTCTTTTTCAGCATTTTTCAGCAACAAATGTAATAAAAAATCATAGTGATTGTCATTAAATGTAAGTGTCCGTTTGTCAGATTACGGGAGCATAGTGAATTGTTTTTGAAACGATTGTGGTTCATGAAATGGGTAAGCATTCGTGAAATATCTCATTTTTGTATAAACTATTGGTATTTTCAAATAATAGAGTTATAATAATATTGTGAAGCGTCAAGAGCCACAACGAAGAGGTCGCTAGAGAAGCACTGTTTATCATTTTATTACTATGACTAATTAAAAACATGTTCATGTCTTTCTATCATAGTTTGGTGCCATTAATGTGCACTTGACAATTAGTATAACATCTTTGAATGTTTGTAAATTAAACAAAAGTTAACGTTTCAAAGGTCGAAATTGTACATATCCTGGTTTTAGTTTTAGTCTGTGTTAGAGTTATACGGCGAACACAATTACTCATTTTGCGTAATATTATTATCAAATTTCCACAAAACATAATTTTGTTATTTTCTAACTTTTTAAATTTAAACGTCAGAATAGTTTTTCAACACAAACTGTAAAGTATAATGTACAAACATCTACAAGGCGTATTGTACTGTGACATACCGTTTCAAACACACTTATCTGAGATGTGTATTCTGTGACATGAAACACGCAAAAGTCAACATAGTACATTTTTTGGTGACCTAAAACTCAAAAAAATCTACGAGGTATGTCTACTTGATGAAGAACATACAAAGATTTACGAGATATTTCTTGTGACGTAGAACACAAAACAAATAACGAAACATATGTAATGATGTAAGCATCAATAACATCTATGAGGTACGTCCTGTGGCCTAGAAAGGGCGAAGGGCAACAAATACTGTGATCTAGAACACAATAAGATCCACAAGGTACACTGTTCTGTGACATAGAACCACACGGAAAGCTGCAAGACGTATGCAGTGGGGTAGAACATCAAAGATCGAGGAGATGTATGTCATGACGTAGAACGCACATAGAGCTACGTGATAAGTTATGTTATGACGTAGAGCGCATAAAGATCTACACAGTGTAAACTGTAACGTGAGGCACAATACAGTCTTATCATCATCCAGTGCCAGATCTGCTACAGACATCGGCGATCATAGTTCTCCATTCATTCATTTGCTCGGAGACTCATAAAAAAGCAAAGTTTCCCTGATCTTTCCCCGTTACCCATTTGTTTAGGTTCCCTTAGTAAGTTGCTCTGGGCCTACCCCTTCCTCATTTGTCTTCAATTTTTGCCAGTGAGATCTAGATTTTCAAGACCTTTATGTCTATCCAGGTGTCCTAAATACATTGTATAGCATTTGTCGTTTCCTGATTGTTTTTAACAGTGAGCGCCCCACGTGAGCTCCATCAAGCACTACCTCATTTAGTATGTTTCCTTCCACGATATTCTCAGCAGTCTCCTACGAAACCACATTTCTGATGCTTCTATTTAATTTATGTCACTGTCTTATGAGATTGTCCAGCATTCCCAGCCATTTAGAAAGGTTGACCATCCATAGCATTTCAGAACTTTCAATTTGGTAGTCACTGAGATGTTTCTATTTTTCAGGATTGGCCTCATTTTATTGAAACTAGCCTTAGCCATTGCAATTCTCTGTTTTATTTCTGTGGACCATTTGGCATCATATATTATTATATATCCTAGATATTTAAACTGTTGGACTTGTTTGATCTTTTCACCTTTGCTAATGAGATTACAAATATGATTTGCTGCAATAGTCTAAGAGGTATACGTCATTTGTCTTGTGGGAAAGAACATTCCAGGAGCTACAAAATAGAAGGTGTGAGGTAGAGCACGAGGTGTATTATTTTTTCTGGCGTAGAACACACAAAGATCTACAGGTTTTCTGTTTTGTCGTAGAACAGAATCAGAGAGTGTGGTATTGTATAATGTGACGTAAATCAAACAAAGACCTACGATGTATATAGAACACCTAGAGATTTAGGATGCAAAATATACTGTGACGTAGAACACATAGAGATTTAGGATGCAAAATATACTGTGACGTAGAACACACAGAGATCTAAAATGTATCATTTCTGTGACATAGAACACACAGGGACATATTACATTATCTAGGCTGTTAAAAGAGAACACCAAAAAAAACAAAACTATGAGGTATGCCATATAGCGTAGAAAACATGAAAATGTACTTGGCGTTTCATACTTCGTAGATCACAAGAACAAAATCTACGGAACACACAAATTACAGGCCAGCCTGCAGTTCCTTTTCATGAAGTCTGGGTACTGTGTACAGGCATCCTGGTCAAAGGTCAAAAGGTCACTGCAAGATGGAAGGAGGTCTTCGCAAACTGCCACTGAAAAGTGCAATGTTGTTTTATGTTATTGTTATTATTATTGTTGTTATTATTTTTCTTCTTCTTCTTCTTCTTCTTCTTCTTCTTCTTCTTCTTCTTCTTCTTCTTCTTCTTCTTCTTCTTCTTCTTCTTCTTCTTC